TCAAAAACATGAATGGAATGAATCAGTCCAATATTTGATGTTGTATCAAATGTTTTCATAGTTCAGCTGTAATTCAATTNATATGTTTGATGATGTGCTTGAGCTCATCCCAATCCCAAGCCTGTGACATCACGACACATGGAAATTGAGAAAGAAGTGTGGGCCAGGCTTTCTGAATAAAGGATGAAGCAACACTTCACAAACAAATATTCAGAGTTCAACGTTATGTACTGAATATTAGTAGCCAAATTAGTAATCAAAATGAGTTACATTTTACATTATACATTTTATTAGGAATTGTTGTTACTGCTGACCATATGGACTGATTCATTCCATTCCAGTTTTTTACAAATTTGTGCTTGATGTTTTTTAAATGTAATTTTAAATACTTGATGTTGTATCAAATGTTTTGATAGTTCAGCTGTAATTCAATTAAATTTCCATTTAATTGAATGCATAATCATTAATTGCTCAGCTTAATAAATCCATACCATATAGAAAAATGTGTTGTCCTTTCAACCCTGTTATCATATNCAAAAGGGCATTGAAGAGCTCACGTGCATCTTTGATGTCCTGACCATGGCTTATTAGCATGTCAGCAGTCCTCTTCAAGGCTGCGCCAACACCATCTGGTGCTCCCTTACCATGGCTGGCCTCAAAGAAATTCCAAGTCCCTGCATTAAGGCCTCTTTTCCTCAGCTCAGTGCTACATTAAAAAGAAAAAAATTGCCCTTCTGCTTGTACTGGGTAAAAGGACCATCACTAAAAAAGTGTACCACAGAAACATCTGGGTATGTTGCCTGCACATGATCCAGTACAGGGTTTAGACTGCTCCCATATAGCTGCTGGGCTTTTGTGTTTTGATGGGGGTGTTTTGGTGAAACAGGTTGGTTCTTGGATGCCACCTACATAAAGAACCCCTGTATGCAGTGCTGCCTGCTGGTGGGATGATCCGAAGTGCACTGCTTGGATTTCCGAACTGTACGTGCAGGTAAAGTTCTCAGAAAAATCTACGTGAATTAGGCATTCATCAGTGGCCATGCTCTTCCTTAGCTCACGGTAGTAGGCATACTGCTGCCTAATATTAAAAGAATGCTTCTTGAACTGCTCAGCAAGTTGCTCCTGGGTGCGCTCAACAATCTGTGTAACAGTTATCTTCAATGTTGGCCCCTCCTGGTCATTCATTGTTGCCTTATCTTCTGTCCCCCACTGAATATAGGACACATTTTCTGCAGTCATATTGAGTGGAACTGTTTTGTCTCTGTAGTGTTCACACTCCCCATACAGTCCTTTCTAGCAGTATCACAGCACACCATTTTAGTGATCGCCTCAAGATTTGAGGTCTCAATCAACTTCAACTGACTAAGCTTTTCTACCAGAAAGCTAAGATTCTCGTGCAGTTTGCACATGCACGTGTCACGGTCAGAAAGGGACGGGTGCACAAACCCAGAAGGGACGTTGGTCACAAAATGCAGGGTATGAGATCCTCACCTTTGTTCCCGGCTAGACATTTTCTGTGGAGGTTTCTTCTTGCCCCACATGGATTAAGGACATCATAAAATTGTAACATTTTGCAAAACTATTGTTTACTATCATTAATTCATACAACAGTTGAAATGTTGAGCTTGACAATATCAATCTGACAATAAAAAAATGAAATATAGGTACGAAAAGATACTGACACTTGCCTTTCTTTGCCGCCTTTTCCTCAGTAGACATCTTCTCCCTCAATGCAGATGTCACATGGACTAATCCATTATTATAATGGGGTGAAATGTATGGCGTAACAGGATTGAAACAAACTGGGGGACGTGTGTCAATAGTGCAATTTCATAGATAATTTATGTTTTTTTTCTCACTTAAAGCACACACGCATATGATTATATTAGCATCAAAATGTTGGTATAATTGGAAATTGTTATTTGTTTACTATTCAATGAACACGAGGACATGCAAAAATGTGTGTTGTCTACTACAAAGACAACTAATTATTATAAAACAAAATATATATATTTAGTTTTACATTGTAATGCAAAACACCCTGTTCCTATCATTTAAAATATTTGAAGAGAATCACCCAGGCACTGATATAGTACAATCTATGTTCTCCAAATATAATGGTACATACAAAAAATAAATAGTGGTGAAATACATTTGATGGATGGCTCTACAGTGAGGCTCAATAGCCTGATCACAGCAACCGCAGAATTTCAAGCTTTATACGTTGGCTGAAGGGCTACCAACACAAAACACTGTAGCAGACGGTAGCAATAAGTTATTTTTCAATCATTGTTTGTTTTGATGAAAAAAACGTAATACATCACTATCCGTACAAAACATATTTCAGTAATTCCAAAGTGGAAAAAGCATCATCTCAAATTGAGCTTTAACCCAACATGCCTTCGGAAAACACCTTTAAAATGTGTATTATAGTAAATATTGTAACTTCCCAAAAAAATAACCACAAAACAAGATTCTTATATAAAAAACGTTTTTAACAATTTCTTTTTTCAGTATAAAACATTACAGAGTTCCAGGCCAATCAAACAAATTCACGGTCAACATTTGAAATAAAAATGAACTCCCCAGTCAAACGTTCTACAATAACATACAAAGGTTTTTTTGCCATTAAGGGGTTTTCTGTATTTTTTTTTTTTATCTAGTTATGGGGAAATATTACAACACAAATCCTAACAATCACTCTTTGTTGGCTAAAATATTAATAACAAAAAAGAAAAAATGTGAACTCCTGGTCCCATCAAAGCCCAAGCCCCGAATTTTCTGGTCAACATGGCATTTATGCTGTCTTCTGCTGGCCCTTCTTCCCAATGAGGGATTTGTGGATGTGGGGAATGACACCTGAAAACAAAACCAGAAAACATTGGTTAGATAAATTATTCATTAAAAATATCATCCAGAAAAATGTCAACTGCAGTAGAACAGATTTAGCAGAGCGTACGGACATCAAGAAACAAACAATATGGATAAGAACGTGAAAAAACAAGGAAAAAAATAATCTGAAATAATGTCAAACTGTAATCTCACCTCCTCCAGCAATTGTTGCCTTGATGAGGGAGTCTAACTCCTCATCACCACGGATGGCCAACTGCAAGTGACGGGGTGTGATACGCTTCACCTTTAAGTCCTTGGAGGCATTGCCTGCCAACTCTAGTACCTAAGAACAAAAAGTACAGATATTAATACAAACATCACCCTTGCACACAGAAACACTGTGTGATGGTTAACCACTAACATGCAAAAAATAAATAAATGGGGAAAGCTTACTTCAGCGGTGAGGTACTCAAGGATAGCTGCACTGTACACAGCTGCTGTGGCTCCTACACGACCGTGGCTGGTTGTGCGAGTCTTTAAGTGCCTGTGGATACGACCCACTGGGAACTGGCAGGAAATAAACATGAAGCAATGAATCGAGATGAACAAAGAAGAAAGAATGTGCCAAAGACAAACATATAAAGATTGAAAATTACCTGTAATCCAGCCCTCTGGGATCGAGACACTGCCTTAGCCTTGGCTTTGCCACTGTCCTTTCCTGCCTTGCCACCAGCCTGTATGGGTCATTTCAGGATTTAATGAATAAAACATGTAACAAGAAATCAGACAAGACAAGCTAGCTAAGACACAGCTGTGTTGGGATGTGATGTTTAGATTTCTTAAAATGGGTTCTGCATTAAAAAGAATGTACAGCCCTGTTTTAAAGTTAGTAGGCAGGGGAATGTGCAAAACTAAACATTCGCCCATGAAGTGTTTCAATTACAAAAGCGCCTCAACAGGTAACGTTACAGATGGCCGGTGAAACTGTTATTGCTTTCCCGCCAATCACACAAAACACAACAAATGCGTTAACGGCTCACCGGAAATAACAACATGCGTGAAAGCATGAAATAACCCGAAAAAAGGTGGGAAATTTGATTTAAAAAGACAGTTAGACACAGAACACAGAGGCTGCCCGTGATCCCGCGACAAACAGAAAACAAACGCGCCGCTTTAGGTCGGTCTGCGGAATTAGTTTTCATTCAGAATTTCCATCAGTTAGTACATTTGCCTCCTTAAGTCCGACCGTCAGATAAAAAAAACACAATGACGATGTTACGCCTTCCTAATAGTTAAGAGGCTTATTTATAAAGGCTTGTGGTCAACTGCTGATGGCTAACCAACCGTTAAGCTAATGAAATAGCCTAACTTAGCTTGCTAATGGATGCTAATCCATCGTTCAGAGGATAAACAGGGTGAAAAACACTCCTACGAATAAGTTTAACTGTTACACTTCTAATAACCCCCCCCCCGCTTTTGCGAAACAGCAACTATCCGATTATCAGCAAATATAGTATTACATTTTAGGGGGGGGAAACAACAAAACTTGGACTTCTCGAGCAGCCGTAAATGCTAACATGTTAGCTGACAGTTAGCTCTTTATGAAGCTTTTTTAACCACACATCTTCTGGTCAAATTTTCTCAGTTCAAATACAAAGCAGCACTTCATACTGTGGCACATTAATTACAGTACAACTTTAACGACGTCCTGTGTAAAGCATTTATCAGTAACCGAAGCGCACATACCATTTTTCCGTGTCGTTATTTGATTGCAGAACTGAGAAGATAGCAAACAATTTCGGCTCCCGAAAGCAAAGAAACAATAAACCCTTTCCCAAATCTTTTGCATGCGACCCCTCGTGGGAGTTTAGACAGCCAATGATAATGTGTGTTGTTACTTCGAATCTCTTCCCCGACCAATTGCAGAAGTGCTTGTAAAACCTTACCCATCCCCCACCCTAAAATCATCGTGCCTGCCTTTGCACACGGAACCAACAAGTAGGCGGGACAGTGTGTGTAGTGTCCTACCAGTGCCATCCATCCCAAAATGAACAACATACATAACTAGGACTTTGTATAATGGAATTTATTATTGAACTGAAATACAAAGACAACGACAACTTATTCAAAATACATAGTTGTGTGCTGACTGTGTTGAAAAACGGGTTGTGCCAACAGTACATTCACAAAAGGATTAATTCTCCATCAAAAATGTTCGTTAGTCATGAATGCAAAAACGTGAGGGCCTGCTAGTATGTACTGTAAATACAACATGTAGTTGAATGTCACCCAGAAGGCGGTTACGTTTTAATGACAGACAGGAAAACTGGCGAACGAAACACAGCCCCTGTGTCTGAATGTTGTGTTTGACAGCAGCAGCAGCCAATCAGAGGCCAACAAAACCATCTGTCCGGTTTCCTCAGTGAGCTCTGCAAGCGAGAGGGTGGGGGTCAAAGATACGCAGAGAAACGGGCTGCTGGTGGCGAAGATGGCGGATGGGGACAGTGGCAGTGAGCGCGGTGGTGGTGGTGGTGGCAGCAGTAGCGGCGGCGGCGGTGGTGGAGGCGGTGGAGGATTTCAGCATTACCAGCGGGAAACAGAGACCCAGGAGCTGGCCTCGAAGCGGCTGGACATTCAGAACAAACGCTTCTACCTGGACGTAAAGCAGAACGCCAAAGGCCGGTTCATCAAAATCGCCGAGGTTGGCGCAGGGGGCTCTAAAAGTCGGCTGACCCTCTCTATGTCAGTTGCGGCAGAGTTCCGCGACTACCTGGGGGATTTCATAGAGCACTACGCCCAGCTTGGGCCTAGCACCCCGGAGCAGATCGCTCAATCATCCGGCGGGGATGACACCGGGCCTAGACGGGCCTTGAAAAGCGAGTTCCTGGTGCGTGAGAACCGTAAATACTACCTCGACCTCAAGGAGAACCAGCGGGGTCGGTTTCTCCGGATCCGACAGACCGTCAACCGAGGCCCCGGTTTCGGAGTTGGAGCGGGTGGCATCCCCGGTGCTGGCCTCCAGTCCGGACAAACCATCGCACTCCCGGCCCAAGGCTTAATAGAGTTCCGCGATGCCTTGGCCAAGTTGATAGACGACTACGGGGGAGATGAGGAGGAGCTGTCCGGCGGCGGAGGGTCCGGGGGCTACAGCGAGCTTCCAGAGGGCACCTCGATCATGGTGGACTCCAAGCGCTTCTTCTTTGACGTGGGGTCCAACAAGTACGGAGTTTTCTTGCGGGTGAGCGAAGTGAAGCCCAGTTACAGAAACTCTATAACCATCCCCTTCAAGGCGTGGAGCAAGTTCGGGGGAGCATTCAGCCGCTACGCCGAGGAAATGAAAGAGATCCAGGAGCAGCACCGGGATAAGATGTACGAGAGGACACCTGGAGAGGAATCGGAAGGCGACGACGTGGAAGACGATTGATGGAGAGGTGGCTATATTGTGAATGAAGCTGACAACATGATGCAAAGCCTGGCGATAAACAAGAGAGAGCAACGACTATTCTGTGCATGACTAATCGAAAAATGCTACAACAACGGAGTAAAACAAAAAACATATATATATATATATTTGACTGAGAAATTACTATCTATATAAGAGAATCATGTCCTAAAGTTTAGATGGATGTTATAGCTAAATGAGTGGGGACTGCAGTAGTCAGCTCCTGTATGAGATCCCCCATTGATATAACATTTTTAGATATATATCTATATATAAATATATATTAACTTTGTATTTGATAACCTCACTTGTAGCCCAGCAAATTAAGTTTGAGATACACCTATAGGTTACCAGACCCACCTCCAATGGTGAGAGCTCACCTGGGGTTGAACTGTAGTCTGTGTTATGATAATAAGGAAGTGTGACATACTCATACCAGCAGGAGCAGAGTGGGAATGAGACAGAGCGCCTGCATCACTCACCATGGTTGTGTGTGCGTTTTTTCGTCTAAAGTGACCTGTAACAAATGGCTTGCCCAGACAGACCCACAACACCCAGAGCCACGGTCTCAGCTATAGAGGGAATCCTCTGCATCTCAGGACATCCACTAAGCCCAGCGAGGTCCCATAAGGTGATCTGTTACAAGCACATTTATCATTTGGATTCTCTGGACAGTCCATTTGACTCCAAACGACCTCCTGCTCCCCCCTCTCCCTCCTGGGCATCCCTCCGGTGCTAACCTCCTGCTCCGATAGCTGATACATGGGCCTCCTCACGCGTGGCTCGTTTTGTCTCAGGACTGGCTAGTCCAATCTGTATTCCTGAGTATATTAGCATTTCCTGTGCCTGTGCATCATCCTTAAGAGGTTCTGTCTGCAGATCTGGTGAGCCAGGTGCTGCAGTCGAGACGTCTGTGGCAACTGATGATGTTTCATATGATGCAGGCCCACGTTTCACCCCTGTGATCTTTTCATCATAGGGGGCACGGTGAGCTCGGTCCTTTAGCACCCGTCACAATTTTTCCAGTTAAATCTTAATGTGCCGGGCTTGAGCTATTATTTAAGGTGCGCCATTTGGATTCTTTATTCTTGAACTCAGACCATTATTGAAGCAATATTCAGTCTGATTGTAAGAAAGAAATTAGGTCTTCTTGGAAAACAAAGCTGTTAACTTAAAAAAATATATACTGGAAGAGATTTACTTACTTAATGATCAAGTATAGATTTAATTATTTTTCAAAAGAGATATATTAAAAGATGTCTTTGGAATTATGAGACATTTATTAGATAATGCTGCCTAAAGTGGCTTATTTAAAACACTAAACTTGGGTGCAACTGTCCAGGGTGATATTTCATACCTGCTTTTTTCCTAACATTTATTTTATTCCTGAGAAGAAATTAAGAAGAGTACAAACACATTGATAACAGTATGTTATAGCAATTTCTAGAAGCAACTTCACTGAAGTAGTTTCTCAGCAAACACTCAGCACTCCAGTTCACTTTACAAAGCATCAAGTTGTCCCCTCGTTTCAATCCACTCGTTTTAACCATGTTTTGTCCCAAATTGGCTTTCCATCAGTCGCCATATGACGCAAACAAAAACTTGCAATCATTGACATTTGTCTTCAGTGCTCCTTTTTAAAAATATGATTATTTCTGCATGCATGCTCTTATGCGGAGCTGCCTTGTGTTCTTTAATTTAGCATATTCTGATTACTGTATGATGGTATTTATCCATTTTTGAGAGCGGTTTAAAGTTTTATTTCTTGCAATGGAAACATTTTAAGTTTACTTCTCAGCCTGATAAAAAAAAAAAGCAACAAAGTCTCTGTGCTTTGGGGAATGTTACTTTCATTGTCCCACTTCCTTTCGTGTGTAAATCTCTCATTGAATTGTATTTGACCCACTTAAACACAGCAGAGAAATGCCATATGAAAAAAGTTAACACATGGGAGCAATAGTTTTTTTTCTTCTTTTCTATAAATATACTATATATAATATTACACATGAGATTGAACTACATCCTTCTTCCTGTACTGTGTTACGTGAAACGGCAGCTGTTTCAGTCATGTGTTTTCTGCTGTAATATTCTACCGAGTTCCTTTCAACGAGAAATAAAAAAGGTTTTTGCTCAGGAGAGGTGTGGTGTTTTTCTCCTCCCCACCTCGGGGTGGAGGTCACTTTCTTTACAGGATCTCTGCAACAAATGTGTTTTTGCAATTAATGTTGTCCATAAAAAGGTGAAAAATACGTATCCATGCTTGCGTATAATATGAGTGCCTCTTTAACAGGGGATAATCAAAACATTTGCTTCAACATAATTACTATTTCCACATTATTTCATAAGCAACTGACTAATTGTAAAATGCACCAGGCTTTCATTCCCTGAAACAAACTGGTGGATGAGGTGAAAGTACCAGTACAAAAATGTAAAATTACTCCATAACAAGTAAAAGCATTCAATAACCTTAATCTAAATCACAGAAATATATCTATTTTTTTTTTTTAAATGTGCTTAAACTATCAAAATTAATAATTATTTTCTGCATTAAACCCCTCCATGACTAATGTATTATATATGACATGATCATGCTAATGATACGTTTGCATTTTAGAATCTTAAATGTTTCACTATGGTACGTGCTGAAGGTGTAGCTAGTTTTAAACATGTAATATTCACTGCTAACAAATATTCGATATCCAGATAATTAATGGTAGAAGACAGAAGAAAAAAGCAAATCTGTTTCTCTGATTAGATTAGATTAGAATCTTTAATGACCACACAGCCAAACTGGTGGAATTCGTGTTCAGTGCAGATTATTACAGCTTGTTCCATACAATTCAACATACAGTAAACAGACAATAAAAAGTTTGCCCTGTGCGGTGTGCACAGGGCAAATACATACATCATTACATACAGTATATACATAAAGTTCAAGGTGTGATTGGTTGTGATTGTTCATCGGGGTTATTTAGAGTCCATTTAGTGTCCGTATTGCAAAGGGTAAGAAGCTGTTTTTGAAGCGGGCGGTTTTGGTCCTATCAAGTTCATGCTTTGAGAAAGATTAAATACTTTTACGTCCTTTCGTCTCCAACTAAATCAAGCTATCTGACAAGTTTAAAGAGACTAATGTTTTTGTGGTGTAGTTAAATGTAGTTAAGTAGAAGTTTATTGTATCACAAGATTGAAATACCTACCAGAAGATCCTGCTATAAAATGCGAAACATACTTTGTAGTTTCATTACTTCTTAACTTTAAACGGCCCTTGAGTAAATGTACTTAGGCACTTCCCGTGACTGAAAAGTATCATCGCCGAAGCAGTTTGATAAAATAAAACTATGCTTGCAGTACAAGCTTTTTCAAGAGTTGAGAAAAAAGAACTGTAGGCCTACTAACTAAGATTTTGAATGCACAATTACTGTTTTTACTTAAGTTGAAGATGTCAATACTTCTTCCACCACATATGTAAAATCTTATACAGTCTTGAGTGTCACAACTCCTGCCGCATCCGTTAACCAGGAGGTTCAGGAAGCAGGACAGCTAGAGGCCAGTGTATCCTTTGAGGTTTATTGGAAACCTAAATATAACCCTCTGCTGTGTAGGGGCCAACATGGTGCAGGTCAACAGGGCAACGTGTGGAAGGCCAAACAGGGAGGTGTCAGTGTGCCGTTTTATTTTAGAGGAACTGGAATGAACCTAGTCCGTCAACCGCTTCTGAGGGAGGATGATTCACAGAAAAAAAAGCTGACTACAACTTAAAGCAAGGTTTCGCACAGATTTCAGTTAAAAAACATAGACACATCACCTTTGTAAGGATTTGCCCTACCACTAGAAACTAGTGAGTCATTTTAGCTGTCGCATAACAAAACCTTTTCTGTGTAAATGACCTATTGTATACACATTAATCATTTTTAGCTTTTTATTTAGTAAAGAATATCTTAATATTGCCCTTACTTATTATGCATTGTATAATTTGCCTACTTCTGCGCACATGTACAGACTGTATATACAAGTAAATAAGTAAGTACACCTTACTGGTTATTCAAAACACTATTTATTCTGTATCTTCTAAACATTACTCTGAATGTAAGTGTTTTTTGACATTCAGCTGAGATACATTTAGTCATATCAGTTCATGTACTCTGTAAAATGAAAATATAGTTCATTCTTATCTAATTTGACTTTTTAAAGTCGGAAATGGTGCATGGACTGCATTTATATAGCACTTTATAGTTGTAGCACCACTAAAGTGCTTTATGCTTCAACACAAGCCAGAATTGACCCGTTCACATACACATTCAGACACCTGGGGAAGAGGCTACCGTACAAGGAGCTATTGCTCATCTGGAGCGATAAACATTTACACGCACACTCACACTGTGATTTAGGATTCAGAACCTTGCTCAGGGATTCTGGATCCTGGGCCCTGTGGAACTCTGTGAACCCTGTGGCTGTGGATCAAACCAACGACTTTCCGCCTGCTGGACGACTGCTCAACCTCCTGTTGTGGAGTACAGATGTATAAGAGTTTATCAAAGGCAAATCATTCTTCAAAAATAATTATTAAAGATGACATTATATTCCGAAAAAAAAAGTCAAACTGTCCTTCAATACTATTTGACTCCAAATTAAAGGTGGGGTAGTTTTAGAAACCGGCTCGAGATACACTTTTTGTTATGTTCCATGGAATTCTCTTAACATTCCGATAGCAATGAATATCTTAAGTGCTTTGACAAAAAATCCATACAAAAATGTCATCTGTGGAAGCCGTAGTACTGTAAAAAGCACGACCAATCATTTTAGCCGGCCCGGCTAAAATAACTGGATGACCTACCTGCCTGTCAGCCTTCCATCTGTGCACAAACTTATCTCGTGCTCTCATTGGTCATGTGCATTGAAGATGCTTTTTGAGAGTCTGTCCCCTTCAACAATTCAAAACTTAAACTATTTGGGGAATTAGGGGAGAACAAGTCAAAGCAGCATGTTTTTTCATGTCCTTTTTTTAGCTATAGCTGTGTGTTAGCAATGTTTCGGCCACATCTGCATAATTCTTAGCCGTGTTTCAGGCTACTCGATGGATATAAATCCTATCTTTTAGTTTAGATTTGGAACTATGTCCAATTGTGAACTGATTTAATTACACATATACAAGTCAAAGTCGTTCCTCAGTAAAGAACTTGAGTAATGGTACTTAGTTACTTTCCTCAACTGGGTGATGCTTATGGAGCAGAGCTGGGAAAAAATATGGAGTTGTGCTCACTCAGAGAATACTGATGTTGCATTATCACGAAAACAATCTCGGAATCCCTCAGCTATTGGTCGATAACTATTAACCTCTGAGGACAAGTGTTGTTGGCTCCAATGTAGCCAGCAGATATCCAGGCAATGACTTCCTCTTAAGTGATCCGCTCAATTTTGAAATTAGCAATATAAAACTAAACAATGTAATTGGGATACAATATCTAAGAACGGATTGTTACACAAAGACACAGTTTATGAGCTAATTTAAGTCATTGTCAGACGATAGTCAATTAAGATTACAAGTCAGTTAATGGTCTCTGTTGCATTAGCTCTCCACAAGGACTGCTTACCTGCATTCCACCATAGCTCGAATAAAAGTCTATGCTGACTATTGCCACTCAATATCACAGAGGGATTGCTAAACTGTGATTTTCTAGTTGGATGCGTGCGTGCTCCAATGACGACGACGTCATTGCTACAAATATAATTGTGAGTTCCTTAAGAAGTGAGGCAAGAATACCTCCCAGTCTCGGAGAAAACGAAGAATGGAACAGGCTAGCAAGTGTGCAGGTGTGCATCATATGAGAGGACCCGCCTTACATTTTCCGCAAATACATTTTGGTAAATTGGTCCGTGCGCAAAGCATTGTGGGGATTTTAACATGTGCAGGCTCGAAATTTCCCGCAACTAAGTACGCCGGCCTCGGTAGAATTCCAAGTATCCTGGACATTGGAGCAGTCTTTCGGCGTGACTCGATGACGTAGCATCCTTGAAATAGTGGATCTGGAGCAGCTTTCCTCGACATTGAGAAACACCCAGTGTCATCAACAGACCTCATAACACACTGATGTTGTAAAACTTTCACAACATCAGTGCGTTATGAGGTCTGTTGATGATGCCAAATCTTCCTCCCTTCTGCGTTACACACAGCCTCTGTGACCTCTCTGAGTGCTGAGTGATAAAGAGTGTGTAGAGAGGACATGCTCAAGGGCACGTAATACCATGCAGAGCCTGTTGCCAGTGAAAGAGGGGACTATTACACATGGCCCTGGTGTCCTGATGGCCACGCTAAGCAGAGACTCCTCGCCTGCTCAGAATGACGGAGATCAAATCCTGAACCTTCATACCTAGTATGAAGGCTCAGGATTTGATCTCGATGGGTGGTGGGGTATCAAATAAACCCAATAACACACAATCAGCTAAATGCATCCATGCTTCCCATCAGTAATTCATGACCATGGAAAGTTGTTTTCGAGTGTGGTAAATAGAGAAAGAAACACATTGTCTTCAGTTTGAACCCATTTTCCAACACAAGTTCCAACTACTTTATGTTTGCCACTGCAAGAATACATTCATTGTAGCAATATACAGTAAATCACATCCTCATCATATGAAAAGTTACAAGAGTATTGCTCATATGCTAAAGTCCCTAAAAGTTGAACAAATTAGTACACCTGCATTGATCAGAAAGTATTGTACAAATCAGTAGACATCTTAGTACACTGGTGATGAAAAAAAAAGCAAATGACAACTGATTTGAGGAAGTGGGAAAGTGGCTGAGAGAGGGGACAGAAACCAAGGACATAACTACGAATGATTCACTGCTTACCTAGCAAGGGAGCTACAAGAAACACCAAATGCGGATTTTGCATTAATCTTCTGAGAACATTTGGTTAGATGCACCAGACATAGTCAGTCATCTGTGTGTTCTGATGCTTGACCAAAACAGAATGATCACCATAATATAGTATTTATCAGACTTTCATAAGTAAAAGGACCATCGATGTTGTGCATGGGTAAAGTTTCAACTAAATAAAGGGAAATACCCAGCAGGAAGTCAAGTAATTTCAAATATTCACTTAAACCAAACAGCAGCATACAAATGTCTCTGATGT